GAGGTGTGCTGTGATTGGCCAGCTATCCAATGCGTTGTGATTGTCCGAATACCTCAAGCGTGTGACGGAAATGTTACGCCCCTTACATACTGTGATGCTCTGTCCGGCCGGAGCGACGAGACAAAAACATGAAAACCCATTATAAACTAGGCATTTGTTGCATCCAGTGAGGACATAATTATGGATTATAATGACTTATACTGTCTTTTTACGAGTTGCATCGCACCACGTAAACATAAAAACATGTCTGCATTTGTGATCGGAGAAATGACAAACAACAAGCCCTACTCTACACTGCTCAAAAAACTCGCTTTAAATATATAAAATATAAAAACTCTTTAAATATATAAAACATACTTACAGTCTTTGAGTCAGAACAGCCGGCATTGTAGTCTACTCTCCCAGGATCAGGAAACAGTCCTCCATAACATGCGCTGCTCACATCTGAATATTTTGGTTGAACTGTTCTGGAACAGTGTTGTAAATACAACTTAACCACTGATTTCTAGTCGTGTCCATTTTTGGAAGACCAAACAAAGTAGTTTCGTTTTCACAACAAAACAGCGCCTACAGTGAGCAGAGGCCGGGGGCTAGTGTGGGTTGAGAAATATGGCGGATTGTAATCCAGAAAGGATTATGTGTTCATGAAACACACGTGACTGAAATTACTAGATTATATTCCAGTTTTAAATGTGCATCTGATTAAAGATAGCCTAGGTGGGATTATACAAGATTTTTTATTTTTTTTAAAGAGAACCATGAGGTAGAATAATTTGCTTTTTGGGTTAAAATAATTTCTTTATATGAAATTCGAATGAAATGACAATTAGAGATTAGACTGTACAAAAATTGAAATCTACATGCTAATACTCACTACATACACTATCTAGATCAGCGGTGCCCAACCTTGTTCCTGGAGATCTACTTTCCTGCTGAGTTCAGTTCCAACACTGATCAAACACACCTGTCTGTAATCAGTGTTGCCAATTTAGCTACTTTGTAGCTAGATTTAGCGACTTCCCTGCCCCTTTTGAGACTTTTTTCAAAAGTTTAGGGACAAATATAGCAACTTCTTGGACAAACCTTATCTAAGTTATCATCTTGCCCAAAGATCTAGGTTCATCTTTATATAGATCAGTGAATTTGCCATTGTGATGTCATCTAGTGACATTTAGCTACCAGTTTTAGCTACTTTAAATTGAAAGCAGTTGGCAACACTGTCTGTAATTATCAAGTGCTCCTTCCGATCCTAATTGGTTGGTTCAGTTGTGTTTGATCAGGGTTTGAGCTGAACTCTGCAGGAAGGTAGATCTCTAGGAACAGGGTCGGGCACCCCCGGTCTAGATGAACACAAAATTCTTGTGTGTTTGGAATGCGCATATGATGCCCAAGAATGTTATCTAGGTAGAGCGCTCATTAGTTTTTGAAACGCCATCTTGTGTAATGATAGCCAATTAAATAGACCTGGATTTTTTCACATTCTTAAGCTGCAGTTTCAAATTTTCAGTATCATGGAAATTAGCTTTATTTGTTTATAAATGAATTATTATATAAGTCTAAACATCTTTTATTTTTCTAATATAGGCCTATCTGTTACTGCTCAACAATTTCCCACCCACTTCACTTGCACTTCATGTACTTAGCTGGGTATAAAAATACTGTTTGTTTTTTAACGTGTGACAAATTGTGTTATTATAAACTGTTTTATTTTCGCCCCTTACCTATGTACTGTATGTGATTTGAATATTAAACATAATTAATTAAATCAGTCCAAAGAATGTGCCCACACATCCAGGTACTTCTTAAAGCACTAGACTCCAAATGAGGTCTACAGATAATATTTATAACTTCCAAGTGGGCCTTAAGATGACATCCAGTGATTTAAAATCTAAAAAAATCAGGATATTTCACACCCCCAACACCCTTTTTTTCTTTGAAGGACCAGGCTTCCCATTGTCTTGGAAAAACTAGATATATGAGGTAGCCTGTTTTTAAGAGTGTGATTTGAAGAACTGGAAATATCATGCAAATTAATAAAATCGTTTTTTATTTGATGGCGCATTTCTAATGAATATACATTATGACAACACGCTCTAAAATATTTAATTGGATGGAAATTGTAATACTTTTTGGAGAAAAAAAAAAAAAGAATAATCCTTATTGGAACATGGCATATCTGGCCTAACAACATGCTCCATGTTCAGAATAGCACACTCTTGTTTTTCTGCAGTAGCCCACATATTATATGCACTTGAAACAGCACATTTGCACATTTTATAAAACACTGAACTTAAAAGTGAGTAGAAAGTGTATGATGTTTAAGATTCAGCAGTACAGCTGTCAAAACTTTTGCATTTTGCACATAACTTTTCTACACGCCCTTTGTTCTTCTCTCTGCACTGATGGAAGAATACAGCAACACATACACATTGTAATCCAGAATGAATTAACATCAGTACATAGTGTCCATGATCACCATGGGACAAAGGGTCTGCTGACTGTTACGGGGTGTGACCAGGGACGATTGGAGTTGCTGCGGTAGCTGTAAGCTCCTCTTGCTCTGGTTAGTCCTCTGTCTTTTAGAGTGCATATGGCAAAAGTAAGTGACAGTGGAGAAAAAGACTTGGCGGTAATTGGATGAGACCAGGTTGTATAGGATGGGATTGATGACAGAACTCACATAGAAAAGCACATTTGTCACCATGTAAAAGTAATGGTAGAAATCGTAAAGTGCACTGTGGAGGAAAAAACCAAACAAGACAAAACCAAGGTTATAAAATCTGCATATTATTTGAAAAGCATTTTTTTTTTGTTATATGCATATGCAAACTCACTTTGTCCACCCAGTTACATAGCAGTACATCAGTCGACGACAGTGATAAGGAAACCAACATAAAACAAAGGCAAAAACAACCCCACCTGATAACAGAGAAAAACAATGACAATGAACTTCAAAGAAATTAAAGGTTTTTACTAGTAATTATTAGTACCTTTGACAAATATGATTAAAACACACTCAGAAAAAAAGGTAAACATCTTTCACTTGGGCAACACCCTAAGACACAAAAGCTAAAAGGTACACCTTTGCACCTTATGGTACATATTAGTACTTTAAAAGTACATATCTGTATTTTAAATGTACATATTATTACCTTTTGAAAGAATACCACCCCAGTGACATCTAATATAATGAATGATACCAAAATTAGTTCTGGCCAATAGGTGGTGACAACCTGTCAATCAAAGTTTTTGATTTGTTCAAAAACTTCATTTAGGAATGAAGCAAGTGATTATAATGAATCACTGAATCATTTACTCAATCGATTTGTTCAAACCCACTGAATAATTCAGTAAGGAAACACCACTACTGTGTTGCCACTACTATTTTCACTGACGAAGCAAAAATGGATAAGGAAGCTTTACATATTGTGTCTAAAATATAAGTTACTTAAAATAATTAATTAACAATACAATCATGCACAATCATACTGCCTCTTTTTTTTTTAAATCAATACTATTTTTGAATAGCTGTGAATGAATGCAAATTCTTGTTGGTTTAAAATGCAGTTTGGCATCTGCCCGCATGAGCTATCCATGATAATCGGACACTAAACCTTGATATCCTCTTATCAGACACTTTCAGTTGTGGAGTGATTAAATATATGTCTATTCTGTTGGGTTTCAACTGAACTTCAAATTTATACTGTCATCAGAAACAGAACATATTAAAATGATGCATTTCTTTCACTCACGTAGGACTTTGACACCATGGCGTAGGGATCGCTCACGGTTTTTCTCTGTTGTGACGCTGTGATCTGAAGCTACTGAACAGTATAAGTCATGATGGGTCATTCTCTGGAGTTGATGTCCTATCAGGCCATTCATCACTGTAATCACCAGCATTGGCACAACAAAAGAGAGAAGGGCATTTACCTGTAAGGAAAAAACATTTAGTACTGAAACAGAAACTATTCAAAAAGTGGGAATGGGATGGCATGTGTAATGATTATATCCCAAAAGTCGAGTGAATGAAAACATCCCCTCCCTGTCCCTATTCTAATAATTTCTTCACACCTGAAGCAAAATATTTGTTAAAAAATAAATAAATAAATACATATTTTTGACACAACTGAACAAAAACTGATCACATGCTCCAGCACGATTTGAGAATGAGCAAAGAGTATCTTGTGCTTCAATAGAATCAATAACATCTGACTGTCAAAGGAGTTTACTGATCAACACAAATTTATTTGATTAATGAAAATGTTCTTTGTTGTACATTGCAATGTTTCTACGTTCTGAAAATTGTGAAAATTTCAGTTTATTTCAATGTTTAAATGAAAATAAATTGCATATGTTGGTCTCTTAACCCCCCACCCCAAAAAACACATAAACATATATATATAACAGAAAAAAACGAAATAAAACATAAATCCAGTTAAAATGCCAAACAATGCAAAAAAAAAAAAAAAAATGAAAAATGCACAAACGAACAAAGAAAGAATCGCTGACAATATGACTTCATGCCCACCTGCAGAACAGTTCTGGCGGTGTTGGAGGAGGCCACGATGGTACAGATGCTTTCTTCACCCACGTAAAGTTGCCCCATGGTCAAAAGCATCGGAGAGGCGAGAATAAGCGACGCGCACCAGAGCGCGCAGATGAGTCTCCTGGTGCGTCCGCGAGACATCCGACTCTTGGCTTTGAACGGGTGGCAGAGTGCCACGTAGCGCTCCACGCTCAGACTCACGATGTTAAACGCCGTGGCGTACGAGCAGCCGTCCCGCAGAAAGTAATAGCTCCTGCAGACCACCTCACCGAAAGCCCACGGGTGATGAATCCAGATGAAGTTGTACAGCTCCACAGGCATACACAGCAGCAGAATCAGCAGGTCGGACACCGCGAGACTGGCGAGGTGATAATGCACGGTGCTTTGGAGATGTCTGATGGATCTCCAGTGGAGAGATATGTACAGGGTCATGGAGTTACCGATTAAACCGACTGCAAACAGCACAGCGTAAATCAACGTCACGAGCACTTTGGAATAAATATCCGTGTTCACATCCAAATCATCCAGCGGCGGGGAATCTGTGCTGTTGAGCGGGCACTGCTGGGTCCTGTTCTCCAGAACACGATTCCAAAGTTCTGTCATTAGATTCAGAGCCCACGAAGTTTCTTTTGATGTCATTTCTCTTTAAAACCTCCAAATGCTCGACACAAAACACTGATTATTTGTGTCCTTTTGGAACGTGCTGAAACAAGCATCTGTGCGTGAATATGACATCGCTGATTTATTCCATGCAGGGGCGCGCGGGGCTGCTAACGCGTAAAGGCAAAACAAGGACTTATTAAGTATAACAGAATATTAAGACATACGTCATATTATGCCATATTATGACCTTATAACTACATATTATGACATACGATGACATAACTGGCATTTAAAATGTACTAATGTCAATGAATCATATGCGTCAATGCATCAGTATTAAACCAAATGTCAGTTTCCTAATAGGGACCTAAAAATGTCCCCAAAAGGTCCAAATTTATTAGTATTATTATACTTTTGCGGACATTTGGTCCCGATAACGTGGTGAATACCAGTATACCACACACACAAACACACATTTTTCAATAATAATACAAAAGTTAAACCGTCAGGTTTAAAAAGCTTGACAAAGATTTGAGAGTTGCCTCATGAACAGTATTCTTTATTGGAACCCATTCAATATGACTACACAGTACTACTACTACTACTACTACTACTACTAAATTATTACATAATGAAATTGTTATTTATTAAATGATTATTCATTAAATGAAATATTTAATGTTTCCTGAAATATTAGTAAAATAATGATTATTAAAAACTTTAATAATTATCGTTATAATTGTACATTTTAAAATGTAAACAAATCAGTAACCATAAACAAGAGCTATATTATGGCAGTAATAATACCACTGCACTGTAAAAGATCAAGAATTTAATAATAATAATTTTAGAGAACAACAGTAAAATGCTTTTTTTTTTTGTAGCCAAGATTTTATAGAAATAACCCTAACGTAAGCAAAAATGTTACAAAAAAGTGTGACAACTAGCCCTAGTTTCCCCTACTTTAAGTCACCAGCATTGACAATGTGCAAATAAAACACATTCAGCGAACAGCGATCTATGTATGTGGGGCATCCTGTCTACTGCCTCCTCCTGATCTATACATATGTGTCATATGATTCTTATGCATAGAGATATTGTTTCTGCCAACATCAGAACTGCACCTCTGGCACTAAACCGTCTAAAACAGTGTGCTTGACTAGACAAACCATGTGCTGATGCTGTAAAAGAGTTTCTTTGAGATTTTATTCAACAGCATTTTCACACAAAACTAAGTTTAATTTATTTAACATCCATGCTGTCGCTTTACTTCTGGGCTTGCCAAAGACAATTTCAGTTTGGTTGGCAAATAACCATTGTTTGTTTTTGCTCTTAGCATGTAGTATGATGAATATATGCTGTAAACTTAAGCATATACATATTACTTTTTATCACATTGTCAACTCAAATTTTTAATGTACACTAATATTCCTGATGAAACAATTTAGCTCAATCAAGAGCATTTGTAGCATAATATAGATAACTGCAGTAACATTGAACTGTAGCATTGATAGTTTAAAGGAATAGAACACACACACACACACACACATATATATATATATATATATATATGAAATTAATTATTTAAAAATCATACAATGTGATTTTCTGGATTTTTTTTTTATTCTGTCTCTCACAGTTGAGGTGTACCTACGATGAAAATTACAGATCTCTCCATTCTTTGTAAGTGGGAAAACTTGAAAAATCAGCAGTGTATCAAATACTTATTTGCCCCACTGTATATACCTTCATTGTGCTCAATTGCCTCTAGCACACCCCCAATCAGCCTTGTGCAAAATCAGTCTGGATTTCACACAATACAAACTCATTCACAGTTGCAAAGATTCTTCTTTTGCTTGCAAATGCTATTTATATAGTAAGTGCATAGCAGATTTCATGTTAGAGAAAGTGGCTTTTTTTAATAGAAAAACATTTTCAAAAATTCAATGTTTTGACTGGATTCTTGTGGATTTGAATGAGAGTTATTTAAGCCACTTTTAAAGGAAAGGTTTCATGTCATACAAACCTGTATGCATGTATTTCTTCTGTGGAACACAAGTATCCAAACAGTTTTAGTGAGCACTGACCTCCATCATATGGAGAGAAAAAAAGAGATATTTATTTTATATTATTTGGTCTTTCATGGCTCCTTGCGGCTAAATACAATTCATGAAATATATTAACTTGAGAAAAAGCATCATTGCAAGCATCATTGATTTTGTAACCCTTCGATGAAGGTTATTTGGCTGAAGTAAACCAGTTATGACAAATCTGTCAGACATTTTCAAGTGTAACAGAGAGACTTCATAATGCATATTGCATAATAAAATGCTAAGAGAGCCACTGATATGTTTTAAGTATGTATTGGGTATTTCTAAGATATTGGTGTCAAATTTGAACGTTTTGTTTTCAAAATGAAACGTGTGCTCTGATTTGCAGAATTTTTGTTTAGATTTTTCTTCCCTATGAGGAATGTTATTTGTTTTTAGACAAAACTGAGCAAAACATGTTTAAGTATAATTATCCAATTTAAATAAATGACATGGTAATTTCACTTTTTTCAGTGTAGAGTGATAAAATTATATTTTTGTCAAAATGAGATTTTCTGCAGGCACTGGCTGCTCTGATTTTAGTGTCCAGGCAACAGGACTGAATAATTCATCAACAAGCCTGTTTTATTCAGGTGATCGTATAAACATGTATTTGTGAAATAAATTATAAGGACTATGTGTACTGTTGGGATGACCAGAGGAAGATCTGCTGTCATATTCAAGCTTCTGGGTATCATCATATCCAACTCTATCAAATCAGAGAACAACATCAGGTTAATAACACAAAAATCTTTTTTTTTCCAGACTAAGAAAACTCATTACAAATCATTGAAAGTATCTTCAGTCAGTCCCAGTGTCCCTCTGCTCCTGCTCCTGGTCATTTGGTCCTTGAATAACATGCCAGGGGAGTCATAGGACTTAAATCGCAAAAGCGATTTTATTTTTGACAAATATAGTAGAAACCTGGAACAAAACCTCTGTCAATTGTTCCTCAGTGATAATTTTATTTTTAAGTGAAGTAAGCTGGTTAAAGAAGTTCATTGTTTTGTTCTGATAATCTGTCATGAAAACAAATATTTTAGATATTTTATTCTCTGCCAATGGGACAGTAAGCGCTGATTGTAGCTGTAGCAGAATCCCGGGGAGGGGGATTGTAAATAAATTAATTTTATTTAAAGCTTAAAGCTAAATGCAGCATCTATCAACTGAATACACATATTTGCTGCTTTCAGTAGCCTGTGAAATGGACAACATTTAGCTATGACAACTTGGAGAATATAGTGCTGTAGTTTTGCTGTGGACTAATAAAAAAAATGCAATGCATAAAAATGTTTAGATTACAATTGCATATGTATCTGAACAAATTTAGGGGTGATTTGATGTCACCATTACTTTCAAAGCTTATTAGCACAGTGTAATCTCATAAAAACACATAATTAAATTGATTTGTTTAGTTCTAATCTGTTATCATCTTAAAAGGAGGCAGAAGTGTCCACACTGACAGAAAAGTAATGCTATGTTTGTTCCCTTTCGAAACGGTCTCGCACATTAGACTCATTTGAGATGCACCTAGCCTTGCTTGAGATTTAGGCAAGAGGGGAGGAGTGAAATAAATGCAGTCAAGACGGACAGTTCTGACCTCTCGAAGTGGAACAGATACCCATGAGATCAAAGGCAGATATCGCATTATTCACACTCAGTGTTGCTGATAAAAATTAAATAATTTCAGTTCTGTTGCTTTAATAAATGCATTTATCATCAATTTCTACTGTAATACAAATGTGTATTTTGGAATTTTTTTTTTAAATATGACATCAGTTATTCCTTCCTTTTAGAGTATTATTATTATTATTATTATTATGCAAAGATGAAGTTAACGATGCTGATTAGCCATCTCTGCACGAGAGAAATGCACCTTTCAAATAGGCCTACATTGCAAATGCTGCAGCCTGATCATTATCAGAATAAAATACAGTCAACCAAACATATAGATACATTATAGAATCTAGATACACTGGTTAATTAAAACAGCCCGTAGTACAATCCGTGCCGTTTAGCCTGAGCTCGGGCCAAGCACATACTGTATTTGCTCATGTGAAGAGGAGGATTTTTCATGTGAAGGAAGACCATGATTTTTTATTTTTTTTGGAAAGTGGGTTAAGTACAAAGCCTGGTTTACATAGGCCTAATAAATACTAGTCTGTTGCATTTAAATTCAAATAGTCAACATTGTGAATATGGAAACATTTGGATTCGTGCCAAATGAGAGAGTAAGAAAGAGGATTAGGGCCAAACAATAAAAAAAAAAAACATCTGCAGAATAAAATCATTAGCCTATAATGCGAGATTAAACTCATTAAATATCCAGAAAAATTTTGAAATAAAAATTATTCAATTTCGAGAATAAAGTAATTCATCAGCATCGTCAACTTCATCTTTGCAGACACTGACTCAGAAAACAGTTTAGTAATAAGTAGCCTAAATAAAATATGTTCTAGCTATTTATGCGATCTGCTTGATCGCGGAATTGGCTATAGCCTATAAAACGCTCGTTTAGTATAGTTTAGTTTCAGTTAATTTAATAGTTTAATTAAATATAAACGTGCGATTACTAATGGCTTAAATGAGCGACTATAATAGCCCTTTTAATAATAATAATAATAATAATACAAGGAATGAATAACTGACAACGTGCCGTTGAATTACAGAAAAAAATTCTCAATGGAATGCGCACATGTGACTGGGGCTAGTGCCATCTACTGGTCGCTGATTTTCTTAGGCTCAGCTGCGCGTGGATCTCGAGCTGTGTGTGTGTGGATTGGGCAAGGCTGAAAGGGCGGAACGAAAGTCTCAAAATTCAAATGAATCAAATAGAATCGACTCAGAAGAGACGTGAATGAATGCACGCGCGTCGCCTGATCCACAAATGCACATTTTAATCGCTACATG